AGGGAGTCTTTGACAGTTTCCTGGCGTGTAGTTCTAACACTGCCAGGTTCTTGTGGCATATCCTCGACTAAGGTTGCACTAACAGATCGAACCGGCGTGGAAGCGCTATCGGTGGGGCCACTAGGAGCTCGAGCAGCGTGGCAAACCGTTTGAGGTGGCCACCTCGGAGGTATGAGAGTGAGATCTGAACTTTCCTTTCGCTTTCCTTATCACCCGATCCAGTATCGGGGGTCAAGGAAAGGCATAGGCGACCAGACCCGTCCAATCTAACGTGAGAGCATCGTGTGCCCACGCTAGGGGCTCCGGAACCGGGGACACAAACAGGGGCAGTCTGTGATTCAACCATGTGGCAAACAGGTCCACATGGGGAAAGTCTTCTTGCACAACTTGTGTGCTACCGTGACGAAGGCGTTCAGACGGCGATCGGCGGGAGACACAGTGGCTTCCGCTAGGTCGAATTTCACCCCGAGAAAGGTAAATCTCTGAGAAGAGACTAGTTCCGATTTCTCGAGATTTATTACAAACCCTTCTTTCACAAATAGTTCCTGAATCTGCTGACTCTGTGAAGCACAGAGGAGATTCGACCTGGCAGGACTCAGGGAATCGCCCAGGTAAGCATGAAACCGGAGACCCAGGCAATGGAGCCTTGCTACCACTGCTTTCATGACTCGGGGAATAGGTAGTGGGCTGAGGCTAGACCGAATGGAAGAGCATGGAACTCGTATTCGCGATCCTCGAACACAAACCGGAGGTATTTTCTCGACGTTTTGTGAATAGGAATGTGAAGATAGGTGTCTTTTAAGTCGATTGAAATAGCCCAGTCGCCTTGATTTAGAGAGGTTCTTAAGGAAGTGAGAGTTTCCATTTTGAACGCCTCTACTGGCGTGTACTTGTTCAGGTGAGACAGGTCTAATACTGGCCTCCAGTCTCCGTTTCTTTTAGGGACTCGGAACAGTCGGGTGTAACTCCGAGAAACTCCCTTATCATTTGATGACAATTGATTTTTGTCACGGGGGAGGGCAGACAGAGGATAGTGGCATGTTAGCGGCGGTTACGGTGAAACTGAATGCAGTATCCGACCCTTAGTACGGAATGTACCCAAGGGTCGAGCGTCTCATCTTCCCATGCTAGTAGGAAGTGTGACAACCTGCCAGCTATAGGGAATTCTGCCCCTGATACAGAGGCCTTACTGGGTCCTGGGTCCCGAGTGGACACCAGTATTGGAGGCTCCTTGTGGAGCTCCGACGACCTGTCTCTTTGGGGGGAAGAAGTCAGGAATGACCTGTGGCCTTCCCTGCCGGCCCTGGACCCTTAGGTCCGCCGAACTTGACTCGCCGCCCTTGGGTGGCTCTGTTGGAGGACTGCTGCGTCCCCCTTTTCCGATTCGCTCGGTGTTGTTTGGCACCAGTTGGACCTGAGGCGGCGTCAGTTTTGGGAGGAGGTACAGTCACGGAAAGAGAGGAAAGAGAGGAGGCTGATGGGTGTACAGCGCGTCGTCCTTCTGCCTGTCCACCAGCTGCTGCATTCAGTCAGAGAGACCCGTGCCGAAGAGTTGCCAGTTCTCAATTGGGGCACACCTAAACTGCGCCCTTGTCTGCTCGTCGTAAGAGCATGCAGCAAAGGATGCGTCCTGCCTCGTTAGCAGGAGACCTGCCATGAGGCGCCCTTGCAAGCATGACAGATGTGACAACGCAGTCAGAGCCGATGTCATCCACGCTTGCAAGGGAGGTGTGTCCGACCCCTAAGTCCTTAAGGAAGGTTCCACCGAGATTCCAGAAGAGATGTGAAATCACCCCAAAAGAGTGGCGGCACATCTCCTCCCAGCTCCTCAGGTTTTCCGAAGCTATCAGCAATTTTGCTGGGTTTGCCGCGGGAAAACGTGAGAGGAACTCAGGGGGCACGGGGGGAGCTGCCAGGGAGAACGGCTCCGAGCCGTCCGGCGCAAAGCAACAGTATGTGCCCAGACTGTAAATACGAGGGGATATATGGGTGGGCACTTTACCCGTCTTCATGGATCTACCGTCCTCCGGCAGGTCTGAATTTCCCGATCCTCTGATCAGGTCATTCAGCTCCGTACCATATCTCATCCAAGTCCCTAGAGAAAGGTAGGGAGAGGGAGGACGTAGGCGCACGTGCTGCCCTACTCACCTGAGCGGGAGTCAGGAAAGGTGTGGCCTCCTGCCGTGGGGGGTCCAAGTTCCAAGGATTTGCCGTCCGATCGCACTTACCAGAAGAAAATCTTTCAGGAGAGGATGGATTCGTTGAAAGAATAATCCCCCACTGCGCTTCCCTCCCCACCTCCGAGGGGGTGGATGTACCCCTAGGGACAGTCAGTTTAGGCCCAGTGGGTCCTTTCCGACTGCCCTGGATGGTAGAGACTCCTCCTCGTACAGGATGCTCGAGTCCACGGACGAGGAGTCATCCGGGTCTGAGTCCACGTCCATGGGACGCTGCCCGTCACCTTGGGGCAAACCTAGCGGGACTGTCGGGGCCTGCACGGTCGTCGCACCCATGTCTCGCATAACAACCCGAGCAAAAGTCGGGGGTGGGTCCCTTGGAGCTGAAAGGGCCTCGGGGAAGCTTCCAGTGGTCGCTACCCCACTAGGCACATTCTACTGTCCCCTTGAATAGGGGGACCCCGTAGAGAAGACAGAAACTTTGCCTCTGGATGGCCTGCCACATCTCTGCGGGAGCAGGAGTGTCCTGGCCGGGACCCGGGGCAGCCATACCCTGGCCTGCACCCACTGAAGGGCCAGCCGGGACCTGACCCACAGCCAGGTCTGCCCACGAGGCTGAAGGCTTGGTGTCCCGTTGCGATACACCGACCCCAATCCCGTCAGTCCCGTAGGGACGTTCGGAAACTATCTGGGCTGTCGATTCCAGAACCAGGGGGGTCTGACGAAGCCGGCACCTGGGAACTCGGGCCGACCTCAACCCCAAAGGTGATGTCAGACACAGGAAAGTCGGGACGTCAGTGACGGCCGGGACGAATCCGGAGGTCCCGGGCAGTGGGGAGGTGGCCCTGAGGGACCCTACACCCGCCACCACTTCGCCGACGACGAAGAGCTCCCGTTGGAGAGACGGCCTTCGAAAAGTAGTTTGGAACGAAGCTCCCGTTTCCGCGACGCCTTTTGAACGCGCCTCTCCAACTGGGTCCACTGCTCCGGTGTCCAATCCTTGCACACAGCACAAGGCGACGACCGAGAGCAGTGGAGGCATGCCAAACATAAGGGGTGCGGATCATCTGCCTTCAGATTAATCCCGCACCCCCCGAGCTTCCACACCAAAACACTTCAAAGAAGTACATGACATGATTCTTTGACTAAAAGAGCAAACTGGGCTGCTAGGGTACTATACCAGGGGTGTGCTCCGTAGCAGCCAAAATTGAAAAGAGGAAGTTGCATGGTTAGCGCTCGTATTTATAGAGATCGTGACGTCATCTGGAGCGTGACGTCACCCGCCGCGGACGAGTGGTGTGTTGCCCCGAGCGCAGCATAGCGTAGCGCTAGAACCACATGGTTGGTTCCCGGTTTCGGGGTAACAAATTTCGTGTATTTTGCAAGCTTGGCTAGTATGGGCAAATTGTAAAGAACTCATGATATTAGGAGTAAGTATTGTAATAAAAAGCCAACCGGACGCAAGCGCTCGTAGGCTTCAAACATCTCGACCGGGCACTGCTCTTCATTATTTAAGAGCCCACATTTTTGGACAGACAACCCAGGTGCCTGTTTGATCCCCCTGGCGTGTTTTGGAGACCCTCTCAGTAAGTTCTAGGAATTCCCGGCCATTACTGTCCACTTTCAATTCAACATCCCCCCACTTCATCTGTTTATGCTCGTGGCTTCCCCTCAAGCCCAAATGGATAGTGTTGTTAAACCACAGGGAGTTTAGTATGGATTCTGGTGATGAATATCCAAGCTGCTGCTTCGCCCAAAACTGCCCTATTTCTTCGTCAGTAATCGCAACAGATCTATGGGGTAAGTTTCCTTTCCCTAGCGACTTTAGTTATTTTTGTTTTGCAGACATGACCTCTCTGTATTTAGTGAACTCGACGCTTCCCCGGAGTGTGTAGCCATAAGTATGTCGCGGTAAATATCGTTCTACAGATGAGTTTATTCCACAAAGGGAATTGGTTTCAATATTCGTTACCATCGACCCTTTTGGTAGACACGATAAATTTGCAGAGATAGTTGTTGAGTTCCAGGGGGGGTATGACATGAATAGGGCATGTTTCGCCAAGCGTGACGAGAAACTGGGACACCAGATTTGTGTCACGGAGGGTTTTTCGAGCGGTGTTTTTGTTTTCTTGCATCTGTATCAGCTTGTCAACATCATTGTCACACACTTGTGCGAATTTTGAGTTTACATTGTTGTTGTTGTTGTTTAAATCCTGGGGCGGCAGAGTAGCATGAGATGTTGTAGCTGATGTTGTAGTATTAGTACATGTTGACATAGCTGATGACGTCTGCTCACCTAATGTTGTCAAGGCGGGTGGGGCAATTAATGATAGTCGAGTTTCCATCACTTCCACTGTCCAATCAATTCCATCTATTGAACAGATATACCTTCCCTCACCTACATAGGAAGTAATAGTGGCTTGGTCAGATCCATCAATTGAAACTTTGTCACCTGTCAAAAATGACTTAATTGCAGCAGCCATCTTTTTTTACAGCTAGGGGAGATGATAAGTAGTCCAGAAATATTGACCAATCAGCAATTAGCTCAAAACTTTCCAAAACTATATCTCCTCTGGAAACTAGTATTAGATGATAAATGTCAATGTAAACAAAAGGTACAAAAATAGATAATGTCAGCAATGGATCTACAATATTCTCCCTGGTCCTATTTGTGAGAGCCAATGTGCAAATGTTCAAGTGATAAAGCTAAGCACAGCTGTTATTTTTCTTTCACACTTTCTCTGTATTGCAGCCAGGATGTATTTAAAAGTTAGATATGTTTTCCCCCAATCACTGCAGAGTTGCATAACGCTAACTGGGCGGAATTAAATCAGACCAATCATAGCCAACACAACGTACCTATATATACCTACTGGTGGGACACCCTGTCGCAGTCCGTGGAGTCCAAGATACAGAGCTTGCACAAAATGATGCTCACTGTAAGTATAGGAAGGAACGATTTTTCATTTCTATGGAGTACAGTTACAGTTATATAAACTGACCGGCAAAAGAAAGTATACCAAAACGTCGAAGTAGGAAATTGTATAAACCATGATTTGGGGACTCTGTCAGAGTTTCACATGCACTAAGGATATAAAAGTCAGGTTACACATGCAGTTTTAAAAAGATTACCACAGATAAACGCAGTTAAACGTGAGAGGGCCATAGGTATGCTCCAGATAGGGTCGACACACGCCAACGTTGCAAGAACCCTCGGCTGCACCCATGTAGCCGTCTCTAGACTGCTGCAACGTTACACGCAGACGGGCCAGACACAGGACAGACCAAGAAGTGGGAAACCGCAAGTAACAACACCAGTTGAAGACCGGCGTTTGAGGACGTTACAACTGTAACTAATCGAATTTGCAATAGACGATTCAGTGATCAACAGCATGAGCATCGACCGTTTTGGATTAGAAAACATGTGTTAACCAAGTCAGCGAGTCTGACCACCCGATCCCGTTAGTCGCCTGTTCAGATAAGCAGGGTTACTGAAGACCAATTCTTACTGAAGAACCCGGATCTTCATTGGTCCAAAATCGTATAGTAAATGAAGCATTTAGTGGCAATTTCAGTTCCATTGTGTTTGAAACGTACTCCATCGTGTCCATGAAGTAATCTAGAACACATATTCAACATTTGCATAAGACCTAAAAAATTTAAAGATTACTGATTGTTTACAATTTCCAATAGTCGCTGCTCCTTTCAGAAGATGTATATGTAAGGTAATTACAGAATGAAATAGGAAAGTGGAAATAGCACCTTGCCAAGAGAAAGCAATTGTTCCATAGACATGATAAACAGAATGGGTAATTCCCTGTGGCGGCGGTGGGTTAGACGAATGGTTAAGGCTTAGGCTCGTCACGCCGAAGACCCGGGTTCGATTCCCAACATGGGTAAAATGTGTGAAGCCAATTTCTGGTGTCCTCCACCGTGATATTGCTGTAATATCACTAATTCGGCGTAAAACGATACTCACTCACCACCGTGTGATTCAAAAGTAATTGGCATCATGAAGTGTAGAATTTTGTTTTTAACAATTCCAATTACGTTTTGTTTCACGGCTGCCAACATACGTTACTTCATTGCTTTCAGGCTGCATTTCTTTTGCTTTCGCTTATCCCTGTCATGACGTCATACGTCAACGACTTTGACAAGCCTATGCTGTACCAATGTCCTCAAGGGAAGTCCATCGCTACTTGGGAAAGCTATCACAACAACCACCACGAAGACAGGCGCCATAGGTTCACCTGTCAGAACACACCTGAACTTGGGAAATGTCAGTGGTCTGGTAAGCGACCTCCTCAAAGCGTCTTGAGTGTTAACATATGATGGGGCCATGCACACAGGAGTTACACTTTGGTAATAGCAAGAGAACCTCATTGCTCAGTGTTCACATAGAGAGATTGATAGGGGTGAAACGGTACGCTCTTATCACGGCACGGTTCGTATTGCGGTACAAGGCCTTCGGTTCGGTAAATGAACTGTGATCATTATGAAGAAAATTGACAGCTGAAGCCAAACAACAGGCACATGTATTGCTGAAAATAATACCTGAATGAACGATTGTTGGACCTGTATCAAACCAATACTCATTATAAGCCCCTGAAATGACGGTAACAAACCGAAAATACCGATTCTTTGGATTGCATTACGGTATACCGAGCCGAAGGCAAAATACCGCGGTTCTACTGATACCGCGGTATGCCGTTTCACAGGAGATTGAAAGGGGGATTTTTAAAGTCTGGCAGGGACGGGCTTCGTCGGGCCAACAATTTCAAAATTGCAGATAGTAACAGTACCGGGATGATCATGAACTTTGACTTCTGACCTTCATATATCACTGTTTCTCTGGTGCATTTTCTGATCTCTGGAAACATCGTAGGTGTGAGAATACAACAGGGAGTTGGAAATACTGCAAATGGAGGTGAAATTTGCTTTTGCTTGTTCGGAGTAATGCCGGTGTAATACAATTAGTCCATTGATATACCATGCCACAGTTTAACATGCATACCTCACACAGACACAGTATACTGGCTCATAGCCGAGGCCTTATTTTATCCTCTCAATGCAAATCGCCAGGCAGGAAAACAACAAGTACTGTCTTTTAACCTCTTTTGTAATGACACCATCGGGGATGGAAGAAGTGACATTCTGCTCTTTGACAGACGCCCTATCCAGTCGTTAAACTAAGTGTATGGTACATCCAATGCGGAATGACATTGTAAAGTAGAACATTGAAGAATTGTATTTATGGTTATTTTATTTGGAATAGGTCCCAAAAAGTTAGGAACTATGTTTATTTAAGTTCAGCATTAACTGATACAATCTCTCTTTCAGGCTATGTGAACCAATTTGATCAACCGATATCTTTCCAGTGTCCCAACAATGGCGTCATTAGCGGCGTCAGCAGCTACCACAGCAACCGTGACGAAGACCGACGTTTTAAGTTCTACTGTTGCTCCTTGAAACGTAGGTCAAACTCACGTCTTTCAAGCAAAAGCATGATATCATTTAAAATGTTCTTAACTTCGATATCTTATTTGAGTAAAATCTTTAAAACAGTTCATGCTATCCACTCATCTGGTTCCATTTCGTTTTGAATCGGTAAATGTGATTATTGCATTGCAAAATCACTTCCATCTTCACTAGTGACTTTCATGTCACTGAGATGTCGACAAGAATGAGTGAGTGAGTGAGTTTAGTTGTACGTTGTGTACGTTGTGATTGGTCTCATCTAATTCCACCCACTAAGCCTTATTTAACTCTGCAGCGATTGGGGAGAAACATACCTAACTTTTAAATTACATCTTGGTTGCAGTACAGAGAAAGTGTGAAAGAAAAATAATAACAGCTTGCGTAGCTTGAACATTTCTTTCACACTGGCTCTCACAAATACCACCAGGAAGAATGTTTTAGATTTATTGCTGACATTTATTATTTTTATAGCTTTGTTTACATTGACATATATTGACGAATAAAATTCAAATGACATTCGAAGCCCCAGACAATTATTAAGAAGGTTGTAATGAGACTAATATGTCTGGCGCTGTACAAATGCCATAGCATTTTGTGCTGTATGATATTTAGCTTTGTTACTGGCTAGTATATCCTCTGCACAGCACAGTCTCTTTGAAACATGTCGAACAACAAACGCCTTGGTCACAATTCGAGTTGGTGACGATGTTGTTCTGAATTTCCTCCTTGATCGAGCCGCGCACACTGAACGATTCCCAGGTTTCGGATGAATCTCTGAGTATTGGTCTGAAGCAGCAATACTCTCCTCAGATTGACTTGTAACGTTTGTGTCTTCTCTGAGGATCGTGGGCTCAGTAATCTATTCTTAGTAACACAGTTTTGATTGTTAATAAAACCTGAGTCCCTAAACGCCTTGAGAATGTATAGATTGACCTTAACGCGTATAGAATGTGTATTCAGTTGGTTCCACTCATTTCCTTATCAGGTTATATGTGGCGGGTGATAGAGATGACAAAGGCTAACAAAGAATATTTACTGACACTCATTTCCGTATCAGGTTATATGTGGCAGGTGATAGAGATGACAAAGGCATTAACAAAGAATAGTTACTGACACTCATTTCCTTATCAGGTTATATGTGGCAGGTGATAGAAATGACAAAGGCATTAACAAAGAATATTTACTGAAAGCAGATATTGATTCCATATTGAGTATTGGTTGGATTTTGATGGTTTGCTGTTTAACGCCACAGTCAGCAATATTCCAACTATATGACCGCAATCTGTAAATAATCGAGTCTGGACCAGACAATCCAGTGACATGGGTCGACAAGAATGCTGCATGTTTGGGAACTAAATATCAGATATAGATTTCAAGTATTTAGTGTATTTACAAAGGTGTTAATTAATTGAGACAGGTACATATCTGGGCTTTGAAAAACCGATATAGATGTGATATATACTATTGTATTTACATACGTGTTGCAACCTGTCTGTTTCAGGTAAACATTTGGTGCACTGTGGCACAATTGGCTACGTCAACTGTTGGGATGAAAAGATAAAATTTAGAATGCCCGCTGCTCACTTCTTAAAAGGCGTGTTCAGCATTCACCACAACCAACACGAGTATGTACATCCATCTGCCCGATGCTCTCTGATACATTTACACGTTCAACAATCTAACTTTAAATCTAATGCATTGTTTGATACAAACTCGAAATAACAAATACCAATCGAAATTAGGAGAAAACAATCGAAGCACCGAGAAAACAAATAGACATTTCAATTTTTTTTAATTAACGGGGAAAACAACCCCATTTTGATTTTAAAAATAATTTTATCAAAGCCAAAAGGTGCCACTTTTAGCATACCCTGTGATTTGTCTGTATTTTAACTATTTGTATGTTTTTTAACTCAAGTTTCTTCACATTAAACATTGGTTTGTTTGTCTTTAAGGTTTCGTCATTTCACTTATTTTTTCTCTTATTTCTCTCATTTTTCTGGGGCGGTGGGGTAGCCTAGTGGTTAAAGCCCTAGCTCGTCACACCGAAGACTCGGGTTCGATTCCTCACATGGGTTCAATGTGTGAAGCCCATTTCTGGTGTCCCGTGCCGTGATATTGCTGGAATATTGCTAACGCGGCGTAAAACCATACTCACTCACTCTCATTTTTCTCTTTATTTCAATCATTTTCTTGTAATTCTGAGTTTTTTCCGTAACGTGGATCTCAATAGTTGAATATCCATTAAAACAACCTGGAGTTTATAACCAGTTTGGCATTATATTCAAGGAATTTCAATGGTGGGCTATCCATTAAAGCAACCTTATGTTTATATCCAGTTTGGCATTATATTCAAGGAATTTCAGTGGTGGGTTATCCATTAAAGCAACCTTGAGTTTATAACCAGTTTGGCATTATATTCAAGGAATTTCAGTGGTGGGTTATCCGTTCGTCAACCTGGGCGTTATAACCAATGGCTGTTTTCTATTTCAGAGACAGACGTTGGAAATTTGAAACCTGCTTGATCCACTGACGTAAACGTCGCGCTCTTATGTAACCAGTCAATAAATGCTGCAGAACAAGACCTTACTTTTGATGTATTTCTATGACATTTAACTACCCTGAACTGAACCCCATTGTTTTATAGTATCACAATGCTACCAGAGACCATTGCAAAGGGACTTATCAAAACCTCAATGTATAGGCACAATGTCACACCACCATCAATAGGAAGCTAGGATGAATGCATATGCCCCAAATGTATGTAATATAGGCTAAAATATTTTCGAAAATGTGTGACATTGTGCCTTTAACATACTATCTGGATAAATTGACCGTCAAAGAATAATTCAATGGCAAATTAACTATGGTCATATGACGTTGATTAGTGCGGTCATTTTCCCGATTCTGGTATACAATTTTCACGAATTCAATTAAGTATCCATTCATGACCAACTCGGGTTATTTCAGGACAAGCCGAATAGACTCGTGCCCTTTTGGAAGAATTTCTTATTGGCGTATGAACATCATAACTTACTTTAAATCAGAACGATAACTCAATTCCTGTTTGATTCCAGTGGTGCGTGATATTACCTAAGAACTTTTGTTTTTATTTATTTATTCTAAACAATTTAACTTCTTTGATACTAGTGATAATATTTCTTAGACACATATTCTAACGTAATTATTACCAGCTGTTCACCTTATATATATTTCCAAATGTATGTTTCTAACTAGGGTTTAAGAATCACAAATGGGATTTGCCTTATTGAATATGCAAATATAGATAATATTTTTCAGCTACAATAAATCCCAAAACAGATGACTTTAAAGTATTTCTCAAACTTAACATTCGTGTAACCTTGCTGCCTTACCACTGGTGGAATTTTAGAATGTATACCAAAAATTCCCCAGAGATGCGAAATAAAAGCCCAAAGTTAGAGATTAAAGTTGATTAGTTATATATAGATGTAACATTATTATTTGGAAACTCGTAGCGTTTTATATAAGTATATTACCTAAAAATGTTGGGAAGTGCACTTGCAACCTCCAAACCAAGTCCGCAAGATCGTCAGGAATACCCTCAGCTGTACCCATAAGAGCCGTTATGTAAACAAGAGCACGTGCGTGTAGTTGAATCACATACCTTCCATGGCATTATCCTTAATAAAAACTTCAAATTAGGAAACACAATTCTGTTAGCACTTAGTTATTTGTACTTTCAATATGACGATATATACTCTTAATGATTTTATTCAACAATCACATAATGCTTAAACGATTTAAAAACTCGGGATTATATTTATCAAAGCACCCCAATCATTACGCGCGTTCTGATAGGTTTGTCGTATTTTCGCACAAAACAAGCATCGGGGTGGGGATGGAGGTGGGGGTAGGTGGTGACGAGTCTTCTTTGAGGTTACGGAAAGGGGGCGAGTGGTGACGAATGGAATTGCTGATGTTAACTGGCCAATCGGCCGATAGTCGATGAATGACAACCTCAATGACATGCAGCATTCCTCAACTTGGCAGGTTGAACAGTTGGCAAGTGAGGAGGCTCCATATTTGCTTCTCAACAACGAGGTCAATTGATTATCCAAGTTTCCTAACTCCTAGTGCACGTGATGCTTGCCTTGTATCCTCGCACGTACATATCAATGCATAAATCAATGCATGGTGCGTCCAAATGGTCAAATTATCATACAAACATAATTATGATATGAATATAAATGTCTATATGGGGATTAAAAATCATAGTTAATGCGATACCTTCTCCATGTGTATAAAATGTGAACCAATTCACATTAGGTTTGATTTTGAGTGAGTGAGTGAGTGGGTTTGGGGGGTTGGGCTTTACACCGAGTAGACAAAATATTCAAGATTATAAGATTATAAGACACACACTTGGAAGGGATTCATCTGAAAAGCTAAAACGAATTACGGTTTAATCATATCATTTAGGTGAGTGAGTGAGTTCAGCTCTACGCCGAAGTTATCAGCACCAGGGGCACCAGAAATGGGCTTCACACACTGTAGCTGTGTAGGGAATCGAACCCCGGCCTTCGGCGTGACGAGCGAATGTGTTAACCACTAGGCTCCCCCACCGCCCCAATGTCTTGATAAAAGCTTACTTTGCTTTCGGTCAGGTAAAAGTAAAACTATATTAAAATGAATTTTCTTACAGATTTGTCTTGAAGCATCTATTAAAAAACAATGTTCGGCCTCCCTAAAGTTGGTCTTCCCTCCATCATTAAGCTGACTGCTCGTTATATAACTGACATACTGTTAAGTCCTGTATTGAACGGGATGCGTCGCTCACAATCTGTTTGGTTGTCATAACATGCATCATTTCCCACTGTTGTGTGAGAAACAGTTTACATGATCACTATCATCATACAGCTGTGTCCTGTAGACTAGTACAGACGCGGACGTGATAGGTTCTAATGAGAATGGTGTCACATTTGTGTTCCGTCACCACACCTACTGATGAGTGGCCAGAGGGAGGGTGTAAATTCAGGATCCGATTTCTGAAAACAAACGTTTTTACTCAAATTTCAAACAGAGTTTGGCAATTTGAAACAGTTAACTCTAAGCAGCATTTGAAACGGCATTTCTAAGACCAAAAAGCCAAAACAACTTAAGTAACATATTTACCAAAATCAGATAGTATACTAAGTCCAATATCAATTTCAGTTTATTCAGGGAAATGCATTTGCCTGTGTTTTCTCAAATTTGATTAAAATCTCTAACTTAAGTGAAAACTCAGATTTATGTTTGCTTCGAAGAATGGGGGTCAGCAGGTAGCATTAGGGCCGTAAGCCCCCGTGGTCCCTGTGTAGTGGCGCACTCTTATGTAACCAGTCAATAAATGCTGCAGAACAAGACCTCACTTTTGATGTATTTCTTTGACATTTAACTACCCTGAACTGAACCCCAATGCTGCCAGTGACCATTGCAAAGGGTTTATTAAAACCTCAATTTAAAGACACAATGTCACACTACAATACTCTAACAATACACAATGCATTTCTCTCAATAATACTAACTATCAGCCCTCATGGAAGCTACCATATTTTACAGAATTTGGTATACAATCTTCACGAAATCAACTAAGTATCCACTCGTGACCAGCTCGTGTTATTCCGAGACAAACCGAATAGCGACTCGTGCCCCTCGGGTAGGACTCTTAACATCATATTGCCGAAGTACTCGTATATTGTATTGCTGTTTTTGTTGTTATTTTATTATTCTAAAGAACGAAACTTCTTTGACACAAATAAAAGGAAATATAGATATTTGTTAGACACATATTCTAACGTAATTATTACCAGCTGTTCACCTCATATATATTTCCAAACGTAATATGTTTCTAAATAGGGTTTAGGAATCACAAATGGGAGTTGTTAAATGGAATATGCAAATAAATAAAAAAATTCTCAGCTACAATAAACCCAAAACATATACTCAAAGAAGTATTTCTCAAACTGAACATTCATGTAACCTTGCTGTCATACCACTGGCGGAATTTCAAAATGAGTAGCTGAAAAATACATAAATGACCCTCAAAAAGTGGGACTATTATATCCCCATATGTATGAAATATAAGCCCAAAGTTAGATACTAAAGTTGATTTGGTATATATAGATGTAATATAATTGTTTTGAAACTCGTAGCGATAAATAAGTATGTTACCTATGTCAACAAAAAATCGTCAGAAATACATTCAATTGGACCCATGAGAGCCGCTATGCAAACAAACGCAGGTGCGTGTTGTGGAATCTCTCACCTTCCATGGCATTATCCTCATTGAAAACGTTATATTAGGCAACACAATTCTGTTAGCAATGTCTTTTACTTTCAATATGACGATATATAGTTTCCATGAATTTATAAATAATGCCATACTGCCATAAACGATTTAAGTACTCGGGAGTATTTTTATCAAGGCTCCGCAATCATTACGCGCGTTCTGATTGGTTTGTCGTATTTTCGCACGTAACAAGAATCGAGACAGGGACGAGTCTTCTTGGAGGTTACGGAAAGGGGCGAGTGGTGACGAATGAACACGAGTCAGTCACGAATGCATCATTGCCGTCTCAGTGACCTATCTCTATATTACCACAGTTAACACTGGACTCCTGTAAGTAAACCGGTTTGAGACCACTACTTCCAAGCCAGCATTTGGCCAGAAAGGGCGGAATAACATGTGGTAACCATGGTAATTACTTGTCAGAATGAAGCAACGTATGTCTGTACATTATAAGACAAATCTAAACGGATCTGGCTAGCTATTTTCGAAACGTTCGTAGCCCTACGAACTTCTTAAGCCCATTGTTAAGACATTGGCTACGATCAAAGTTAAGAATTCTTAGGGCTACGAACGTTTCGAGAATAAGGTGGTCAGCCTCGCTGACTTGATTCAATGCAGAAAAACGTATTTCAGTTGCGGGAAGATCGATGCTTTACATCGTTAATCACTTGATTGTCAGTTCGATATTTTCGATTTGTTATAGACAACAACCGTTAAGCGGATGTATTGCTGAATGTGGTGGTAAACTACCAACAAGCAAGCAGTACTCAGCTCTACCATGCCATCAGTGCTGGACTGGTACACAGTGTCAGTAATGGTATATTACCCATCAAAAGTTTAGACTCACTTAAAGAACTCACTATGTGTTATGTATATATATGTAGTTACATCGAAGATGAATTTCTCCACAACGTTGGGGAACCAACTGCAAATCTTATGCATATGGGTTGCACGAGGATCAATACATCAAATTGCTGAAAAGCATGTGCAAATATCGTGCATGTGAACAGCAGCGTTTTGGTGTTGAGTTTGTTAAGAATTCGCCAATTTTCACTGAGTTTCACCATTTATTGAACTCATGACAATAATCTTTTCAACGTTACGAATTTGTTTTACAAGACATCAGTTCTTGTGTAAACAGTACCTTTAAATAGTATGGAATATTTTGCAAAATCTAGTTTAGAACAGTTGACTGAAGTAAGTGGCTTCATTTACACTAGTGAGTCTAAACTTTTGATGGGTAGTATATATTACCGCATATGCTGTATTGGGACCCGCCCCACAAAGCGATCTTAGCGCTAAGGTGATCGTAACTCAAATGCTTTAGGGTTGACTTACTGTTATCATCGTAGAGCTAAGATTACAGCAGTTTTCCTTCTCTGTTCCTTTGGTATTTTAATATTTCCCTTAACTGTCAATCTTCCTTTGGGTCTATGTCTGATAGTGGCTTGTGATGCAATTTGTTGAAGTAAATATTCTTAAAGAGGGGTTTTCTGAGTTGTAAGAACATGGCCCCGATCCTTTTCACTTTGTGAATAAATATACTCATGGAAACAAATAGGGGAACACATGAAAGTACAAGTGCTCCTTTATTTTTCCAGGTTTCTTCACAAGTTATGTTTTGCACTGTGCCTGAAAATCTGGAAAATAAAGGAACACTTGTACTTTCATGTTTTCCATTATTTGGTTCCATGAATATATGTTTGAACCAACATCGTTTTGTGGAACGGGGCTTAGTATTGGTTCGCTACCACTATGATAATGCCGGTCTTGTCACTATTAAGCCAGTATTTACCTGACTATGACAGGTATCTTGAAAGGTATAACTGAGAACAATTATTTCTCTTACGACTAGCATTGGTTACTGATCGTCTCGGGTCATGTTCCTGGCTTCAGAAGCGTCAAACTGAACAGCACCAAAGCAAATACCACCACATACTACTCTCCATGATGAGATACAACAAACTCTCATAATTCACGATTTATTTTTATCACATTAGCACATACAAATGCCACTGCATATTATTATATCATACAGCAGTGATGAGGGCAAAAGTCCAATGTTCCATGATAGGGTATTTACAAACCTACTCAGTCAGGTGGAAACAGACCGTCCTGCAAAAGCAACACCGCACATACCTACAATATTCTTATACTATTTGACCGCCTCCATGGCGTAGTTGTTAGAGCGTCCGCCCGGAGAGCGGAAGGTCGCGGGTTCGATCCCCGGCCGCGTCATACCAAAAGTCGTTAAAATATGGTACTTGTTGGTCCTGTCTGGCGCTCGGCAATAATGGGTACAACAAGGACTGGTCGGTTGGAGTCAGTATAATGTGTCTGAGTGGGGTATTCATACTTCACTGCGGCATGCTATCTCAGTGGACTAGCATTCTAAAACCAGCTTAAGTCTGGGCGCACATACACATACACACGCATGCACGTCGTCATATGAGCGAAATATTCACAAGCACGACGTTAAAACCAATTTCACCTCACCTCACCTCACCTCACCTCACCTCACCTCACCTCACGCTATTTAAAACCATTTCCGCATGGACCTGGTCCCCCTAATTGCAGCATAATGGGGCAATATACCTATAGCTGTTTCAGGCGCCTTCAAGCTTCAAGACTGACGTGGGCGTTGATTAAGAAAACCTCTATCTAAGCAAGTAGTGTTCATTAAAGGTTGTCATCGACAACATGTTTCAACATTTGACTAATCCCAAAACCCGTTGTTTTATGTTATGGCACAAGTGTTATGGTCTCAGAATTTCTGCCCACAAGGCGTTCAGTCGCCAGTACATAGGATCATATTCAGGCAACGTTTTATTTTCAAGTCTTCGAGCCATTGGATATTGCTCGATTGTGTCGGTTGAGCATGGCATCAAACGGTCATGTCTGGATGTACCGACGTCCCTTATTTGCATCCAATGTCTGCGTAATTAATGATGTTACAACGCCATGCATTGGCATCCAATGTCAGTACAGTTAAGTGTCGTATAGTGTGGTGTGTTGGTGTGAAATGTCTGCATAATTAATGATGTTACAACGCCATGCCTTGGCATCCAATGTCAGTTCAGTCAAGTGTCGTATAGTGTGATGTGTTGGTGTGAAATGTCTGCATAATTAATGATGTTACAACGCCATGCCTTGGAATCCAATGTCAGTACAGTCAAGTGTCGTATAGTGTGGTGTGTTGGTGTGAAATGTCTGCATAATTAATGATGTTACAACGCCATGCCTTGGCATCCAATGTCAGTACAGTCAAGTGTCGTATAGTGTGGTGTGTTGGTGTGAAATGTCTGCATAATTAATGATGTTACAACACCATGCCTTGGCATCCAATGTCAGTACAGTCAAGTGTCGTATAGTGTGATGTGTTGGTGTGAAATGTCTGCATAATTAATGATGTTACAACGCCATGCCTTGGAATCCAATGTCAGTACAGTCAAGTGTCGTATAGTGTGGTGTGTTGGTGTGAAATATCTGCAAAAATATTTGCTTTGTGATAAAGTATCATGGCGTTCAATGTGAGAACAGTCAAGAGTTTAATAGTATGGTATCATGGTGTGAAATGTCTGCATGGATAGGTGTTTCATAGTAACTTGACTTGGCATCCAAAGTCGGTACACTTAAAATCTTAAAATGTCCTTTAGACTGAGCAGATCTGGGTAGATTTAAAGAAGTTAGTATAAGTAACATGACATCAGAGGTCAGCATAGTTGAGATATCCCTCAAAGTTCAGTATAGAGTTAGGTGTGCTCTCCCCACAACATGATAACTAAAGTCTGTTGACTTGAGCTTTCTCCAGTATCAGTATCTGAAGTGGAATCTTTGGTTAGAAGAAACCTGATTAGCTGCTGATAACACCAATGTATCAGTTAAATGTGACCAGTAAGATCACGCACCCACTGCTTCGCCTCGTTTTCCCCGCTTGTCGGTGAACACAGACATCTAAACATCTGCACGACTTCTTGCCTGCACTCTTCAAACTTGTTCACGTCCCCGCCCTGTTGAAGCCAGTACTGCTTGGCGTACTCGTCCACATACAACTGACCGTTGTTCAGTAAACGAATCAGATCGATGATGCTCCTATCGACGGCAGGACCGGAGTAAAAGTTGTTGGTGTAATAGTCGTACATATAAGTGACCACCATGTCAGAAATCTCTTTGATGGCTGCTCCATAGGCTGTTGCGTTGGCATCAATGTATTGGTCTTCTTCTCGAATATGAGCAACCATCTGGTGGCCGATTGACTGGGTGGTGGCTGCAGGAAGAGGCATGTGATATGCTTTATAAGCTGCTGTGTGTTCTTTATTTTCAAGCAGTTGAGCTGCAGTGCTTCCAATCTTAGCAGCAAACCGGTCAATGATTGTCCCGAAACACCTTCAGGACGTTGTTGTTGATGACATGTTCGCCACGATGCGACGGCTTCTTCTGTTCCCCTTTACTGGTCTTTGGGTCTGATGGCTTTTTGGATTTGTTGGCCAATTCCTTGATGTTAATCTGAGTAGCAGCAGGTTTTGTACCAGCTCCTTTCATGGATTGTGCAGCTCCTCCTTTCCCGGATTTTCCACCTTTACCTTTCATGGCATTCATGACTTCTTTAGGCCCAATGCCCTTCATTACGACCTTTTCAGCAACTTTAAGGTGTGCAGAATCCGGGGCACCTGCTGTCCCATATGTGAGGACATCCAGCACAAGACTCAGAGCTGCATCGGCTCCATTTTCCTTTGCAAGATCATAGGCGCCATGACAGACGGCTGATATAGCTTCAACCGTGTTCTGGAGTGTACCCACGACTGGGAAGATGTCCAGCCATTCTGTCCATACGCTCATGTTTGTTGTAGCTTGTCTGAAAAAAGCAAGGGAACATTGGATGGGCGAGTGAGTGAGTGAGTTAAGTTCATGCCGCACTCAGCAATATTCAAACTATATAGCTGTCTGTAAATAATCGAGTCTGGACCAGACAATCCAGTGATCAACATCATGAACATCGATCTACACAATTTTGATATGATGACATCACGTCATTGTTATCGTGACAAGTGTCAACCAAGTCAGCGAGTCTGACCACCAGATTTCGTTAGTCGCCTCGTCGAACAAGCATGGGTTACTGAAGATCAAATGGGTAATAAATCCTTTCCATTTAAATGTGATTGAGTGAATATGTTTTTAAGAGCTCTTGTAGCAATACCCGAACAACTTCTTCTCAGTAGACACCAGGGAGGGTGTTTCACATATTCGAAGCTGGGAGTTTCCCTCACAGGAGAATCGTCTTAACGACTAGATTTCCTTCCGACCCTTATTGTTGTTTAAGCCATATTCCAGATATATGGCGGCGGTCTGTAAATAATCGAATCTGGACCGGACAATCCAGTGATCAATAGCATGAGGATCAATATACGCATATGGGATACGATGACATCACACTCATTATTATCCTGATATCATCAATTCAACACCAGCAACGTTTTGGGCAACATTTTATTTTTCAAGATAATACTGGACGTGCTCATATTGCTAGGATTCTGACCAGACTGAGTGAGACGCCAGGGCTTTACACGCTGTACCCGTGTGGGGAATCGAACCAGGGTCTTCGACGTGACGAGCGAACGCTTTAACCACTTTGCTACCCCACCGCCTCGTCATAGTCAGAACTCAGCCTTGACACCCTTTAAACACGTCTACTGGAAAACAAGGATAAGTTGGACCGGCGCAGAGAACACGTTTACGAGAAGTAGGCGGTGCACGGCAATGAGCAAACCCATTTGGTTTGTGAAAGGTAGAGCAGATGTGGGCTAGAGCTCGTGCAGTACATGACGATGAAATTGATTCCGTGCGTAGCTGCACACGCCTTGCTCATAAGACTCTCACGTGGTCGGTGTAGCAAGTCGATAATATTCGGAGGTATAGATATATATTTCGAGAGAATTAAACATGTCAAAGTTAGGTTAAGCACGGTCAGATAATACATTCTCAGACCCGAGAGGTGGCATACAAGGTTACTAAGTACATGGAGAAAGAATGTACATCTACGAAACAGGCACTATTAAAAGCTAGCACCTGCCACTGTCGAACTCGAGTTCGCTGAGACAGGCCATGCTCTTCACCCATCGCATTACACTTGATCGCGGACAACCTGGGGCCCCTTCACTCACAATGGCAAGCACCAGTGGGCGGCTCTCATACATGCTAATACGGGTCAATTGTCGAGTCGGTGCTCAACTTATCCTAGTTTGCCAGTAGGACGTCATTGCCAGGTGTGTATGTTTCTATATGTTGACAGTGCCATTCCAGTGCTCGTGGGTTTCACCAAAGTGATAACTGCCTTACACGCTCGTCTCCCTCAGAATAGTGTTAAAAAAATAAATAGAAACATCGAAACAGAAATAATTTCGATAAGAAATCGCGGCCAAAAGTATGGTCGATTGAAAAGTTTGTTAAACTCACTCACCCAACCAGCGACTGAAACTCATTATAACCATTCACTCACTCATATTATGTTGGGGCCGTAAAAAAAGTTGAGATTGGAATTTTTGGAAACCTATGAAAACCTATGAAGAGCGTTACATGTCAATGAGCTGCTCTCCTTCCAGTGAGGGAGGGAGTTTAGTTTTGCGCTGCAATCAGCAATATTCCAGCTATATGGCACCGGTCTGTAAATAATCGAGTCGATGCCAGACAATCCAGGGATCAACAGCATGAGCATCGATCTACGCAATTGGGATACGATGGCATGAGTCAACCAAGGCAGCGAGCCTGGCCACCCGAACCTGTCCTCCCGTCACGCTAAAGACCCGGGTTAGATTCCCCACATGGGTACAATGTGTAAGGCCCATTTCTGGTGTCCCCCGCCGTGATATTGCTGTAATATTGCTAAAAGCGGCATAAAACTATACTCACTCACTACTGAAGAACAGTCCTAACCCGGACCTTCATTGGTCGCTCTTATTTGAAGGTCAGTTCATCACATTACAATGCTATTTAAAACATGCTACTGTTATTGTTGTACCATCTTTACATATTCAAAACCCTGTCACCTGAAAAAAATACTTGTTTCCATTTTATGCATTGTGATATTTAATTATTTACTACACGTTAGATACATGCTGTCAATCGAAGTATCCTAATTGCGTCGATCGATGCTCGTGCTGTTGATCACCGGGTTATCTGGTACAGACTCAATTATTTATAGATCGTCAGTGTATAGCTATAGTAGAGGGACGGTGAGGTAGAGGGACGGTGAGGTAACCTAGTGCTTAAAGCGTTCGCTCAATACGCCGAAGATCCGGTTCGATTCCCCACATGGGTACAATGTGTAAAGGCCATTTCTGGTGTCTACCGCCGTGATATTGCTGGAATATTGCAAAACAACGGCGTAAAACCCAACTCACTCACTCACTGTTAGTCAATCAATGTAAGTATTATTATTGTTAAATGTGATAGTGTGAAACATGTGTCTCAGTTGTCTCCCTTTCCTTTTCTTTTCGCTTTTAATGAATCTGTGATTCTATGTGATATGATTTATACTGTGATAATCATATGTATAATGATAATGTTTACAGGTATTCTCTTCATCTGCTAAAAGCTAAATATTGCTAAAAGCTGCGTAAAACCTAACTCACTCACTCACTCACTTACTATACAGTCTAGACTAGGACCACGTCACGACTCTCTTCTAGTGATGTGTGTGGCGTTAAACAACAAACAAACAAAAACACGAACAAACATAGAACCGTTTTTCAGATGAGCGAAGAAAGGAGACCCGCTTATGCCACAAATAATGCACCCCCTCAAATATGGCAAATATAAACAAAGTGGGGGCACATGTTTACATGTAACAATTGAGTAATTCAGTGACCTGACATATTAGACATCGAAAACTCTAAACACTTACGTGTCTGCTGCTCTCAACAAAAGGTCCCGCGACTGATAAAATGTCAAGTCTCAGACTGATTTATTTAACCGATACTGCCCACGCCATCTCTGTTCATACATCCGCGTTTACCTGTCAATCATTAAGTCGCATCGAGTCACAGAAATTAATTTCCTTCCTTGTAAATGTCTGCCATTGTCCTACATCTTTGCATGGAGAGTATCATATTACAGTCGACAATGTAAGTGATAGAGTTTAGTTTTACGCCGCACTCAGCAATATTCCAGCGCAATTGGGAACCGATGTCAACCAACCACCCGATCCCCGTAAGTCGCCTCTTACGACAAGCATGGGTTACTGAAGATCGATTCTAACCCGGATCTTCTCGGGTGATACACATAAGGAGAGTCTTATTGATATCAAAATAAATCAGTCTGTAAACAATCGAGTCTGGACCAGACAAACTAGTGATGAACAACATGAGCATCGATCTACGCAATTGGGATACGATTGGGAGCCCCCGATCCTGTTGGTCGCTTCTTACGACAAGCATGGGTTTCTGAAAACCACTTCTAACCCGGATCTTCACGCGTCCCATTAGCTCTAACTCTCTTCATACCAGTGTATGCTGTCAATAGGGTGGTCACTTGGAGCCTGACCACCCGATCCCGTTAGCATGGGTATCTGAAGACCAGGGTCAAGTAGTTAGGCACGCTGATTTGGTCGGGTGAGTGAGTGAGTATGGTTTTACCCCGACGTGAGCAATATTCCAGCAATATTACGCCGGGGAACACCAGAAATGGGCTATAAACATTGTACCCATGTGGGGAATCGAACTCGGGCTTTCGGCGTGACGACCGAGGGCTTTAACCACTGGGCTACCCTACCGCCACACCTTTCTTACCAAGATGTCAAAGAAGACCATACAGCTCTTGCTCAGAAGTTGTTCCATCAAGCTTACAAAATATATTTTATAGAAATTGGTTTAGTTGTAGATGCGTGGATAACAATTCCACATGTGACACATTAAAGACAACATTCTTCCCTGCTTTGGCTATCGTTTAGTGTTTTTAACTGATAAACATTTGACATGCACTTGCGTGTGTTTGTGACTGGAACCATTTTCAAGAACTCCTAGAATCAAAACTATTTCATAATAATACATAAACACCTGCTCACGGTACAGAAGGAATGGTACCATCGACTTCACTTTAGTAAATATTTCCTATAAACATTAAAACGACTTATTATAACGCTAAAATCAAACTTTGCCAGTGAAGTTGTAAGGAAATGAGACCGATTGACACATGAATCCTCTATTCATATTTGGTGGTCAATAGTACAAAGTATAAGATCACACATGTGCAGAAGGGCAGGTGGGACAAATGTTATGCCATCTTAATGCAATGAAAATGTATAGCTTTAAAGATATGGCTTGTCTTCTAATGTAATCCATAAAATAATTAATCATACATTAGTCGACAAGTCTTTGTGCATTAATAGCTAATTATAATTAATATTCTTATGTCAGATACCCTATATGGTACGATGTGTTGCAGCATAGTGGCAGATATATTTGTGATATTGAAAATTAGGACAAAACTAAGTATAAATATCTTAAAATATCCTGCAAATGTATAGATCCTGGGTGTGACTTTAATTGTTTCTCTTACAAAATAAAAATCTGTAAATTGTGAAAGAATAGTGATGATGATCTGTGTTGTGAAATAAGTAGTTTGGACTGCTTGGTGTTCTTCAATCCAATATTGTTATGCAGATCAGGAGCATGTGGGCCCTTATATTTATTCAACAGGGCAGGTACGTATAAATACTCCCTACGTTCACCAATGGTTTGTAAGATCTTTGGGCTATTGTATCGAATCACAGAGTCGAACCCGTGAATCTCGGGATTGTCTGGTTCGGTTACGGACCGCTGCCTTATAGCTGGAATAGTGAGTGAGTGAGTGAGTTGAGTTTTACGCCGCACTCAGCAATATTCCAGCTATATGGCGGCGGTCTGTAAATAATCGAGTCTGGACCAGACAATCCAGTGATCAACAGCATGAGCATCGATCTGTGCAATGGGGAACCGATGACATGTGTCAACCAAGTCAGCGAGCCTGACCACCCGATCCCCGTTAGTCGCCTTTTACGACAAGCATAGTCGCCTTTTAGAGCAAGCATGGGTTGCTGAAGGGCTATTCTAATAGACCCGGACCTTCACGGGTCAGCTGGAATAGTACAGTGTGCGGCGTTCAACAACAAACAAACAAAAGTAACGATTCCCCAAGTAGAAATGCAGCACTAATGGTAACAATCCTTACCGGAAAGTGAAAGTAGGACAATGAGCCACTGCGGCTATACGCTGTTGCACAGAGCAGGGTTCACTGGATACGGACACTGGACAAGGGGATTAGTCAGTGGGTTGAGGAAGGAACATCTCAGGATATGACACTGCAGGAGTTCCAGTTGCGCTATCTGCTCGAATGTGGAGTAAACAGGAAGGTCTTCTTCAGCTAGGATGTTAAACTGGTTGTGTAGAAGCAGCCAATAACCACTGACACACTTCTCAGATTTCAATGTGACCTGATCCGGCAAGTAGAGCAAACAGCAGAGCGACGCTCGACTCCGCTGCACTATTTAAATTGGTTTGTTGTCTATCGCCATGCTCAGCTATATGGCGGTGGTCTTGAATAATCAAGTTGCGACCAGACAATCAAGTGATCAACAGCATGCTCATCGATCTGCGCAACTGGGAAACGATGACATTTGTCAACCAAGTCAGCAATTCTGACCACCCGACCCCGTTAGTCGCCTTACGACAGGCATGGGTTATTGAAGACCAATTCTATGTGTCTATGGTCTCGACTACAAGTTGTTCGACTTCCATTTTTATGGAAGCCGTGGTGGCTGAGTGGGTTAGACGGCTGATTTTGTGTGCAGGCGATTAGGTGCCTGACTCCAGGTCAGGTCCTAACTGTAGGTCAAGACTCGATTATTTTCACACACCCGCCATATAGCTTGAATATTGCTGATTGCGGTGTTAAAAACCAACCAACCAACCAGTCCAGACGACAGACTTTGGGTACCCCTCTGTTTATATAGGCCTATAATGACTTCTTTGCTCTTTGGTGCGGTGGGGTTTGCCTAGTGGTTAAAGTGTTCGCTCGTTACTCTGAGGATCCGGGTTCGATTCCCCACATGAGTACAATGGGTGAAGCCCATTTGCTGTGTCGCCCGCCGTGATATTGCTGGAATATTGCTAAAAAGGGCGTAAAACTAAACTCACTCACTCGCGATGTGTGAATGGGCCATTATTACTGTCTCCTGTCTACAGGCCCTATAATGAGGTCTTTGAATTCCAGTATTATTGTTGGTCCATGGGTCATGATTGGCTTGTTTATACATGTGTCCAGTGAAGAGTACAATTCATGGGTGGAAACAGGGTGGAAACAGGGTGGAAACAGTACACCTCTGCATATCGTACAAACCCGTCCAGGACAGACATTAATATACTGCAATAACAAAAAAAATTTACCTTTTGGCAATGAAAATAAGTAACAACATCCGAAGCTAATAAATGGTTCAATAAGATTGCCTATATCCCCTTCAAAAATTGTTCAGATTGTAGGTTTTGGAACATGTACAGACCTATTATTGGGACATGGCGGGGCTTCGGTATGACGAGCGAACGCTTCAACCACTAGGCTACCCCACCGCCCGTCATAATTGGACCATTTGGGACTTGTTTCTTTCAGTACAAGAATCGTTGAGTGAATGACGGCAACAGACCTGCTCAGTTTACCATCATATAAGGCGTGATTGTATTATGCAGCTTTCTATTTTGCAGGGCTCCTCCACTACGCCTTACCCGTAACAGGGCACAAACGTGGGCTGCCAGTTGATTGTGTTATCATATCTCGATAGTGGACTTGATGCTATCAACCACTGGTTTACAAGGCCTAGAATCGATCAATTACACGTAGCCGATACCGCTGGATCATTCTGACTGCAGGCAAAAACCACATTGCTCACACATTCCAGATATGTATTCACACTAGTGTGTGTATGCATGCACACACGCGTGCGCTTGTTACAATATACTGCGCGCGTGTGTGTGTGCATGTGTGCGTGCGTGCTCGCAATGCGGGTGCGTGTTTATGTGTCAAGTGCCTGCAAAGGCATTGAGTTAGTGAGTTTGGTTTAACGCCGCTTTTAGCAATATTCCAGCAATATCAGGCGGTAGGTTTGGGAATATATATAGACCTATTATTGGGTCACTGGTCATGATATTGTGACTGAGTCAGTTTAATTTTACGCCGCTTTTAGCAATATTCCAGCAATATCACGGCGAGGGACACCAAAAATGGGCTTCACACATTGCACCCAGCCACCCAGCCATCCGCCGCCCCTTCAATCAGCAGTCACTTTCAAGAAGATGATTCACTCAACCATGACACATGTAACAGCAGGGTATCCTGGGCGGAATGCAGCATACCCGGACATACAGTTCCCACTAAATCAGATTCCCTGTATTCCAATGTCAGTTTACCGAGAAGCTGCCAATGCAGTGTGCGGCATTAGTTAAGAAGGCGACCCTACAAAGGTGTGGAGTGAGAGTGGGTAACAAGGACGTAGGTTATAGACATCCAGAACGGAGGGTAATGCCCATTGAGAGGTTCGAGCACTGTAATATATAGTGCTTACCTCACCACTTATCATTCCCTGGAAATGGCCACAATGATCACGATATGCTCGCCTGTTTTGCGGAAATCCTTGTGTCACCCCGATCTAGCCTCAGCACACCCACCTCTTATGAAAGTACAATAGACGATAAATATTTCCTTGAGAGAGTTATGTGTGATCTGGAGAATGACAATTGTGTTGTGAATGGCGATCATAAAACCCACACGGGTACTACAGGAGGGGGGTGTGTGTGTGTGTGTGTGTGTGTGTGTGTGTGTGTGTGTGTGTGTGTGTCAAGGACACGTGTAACACTTATAACTCAAATAGCACTGACACTCGCTGCTCAGTACTCAAGATAGTGTGTACGGAGTTACAGGTAAAGTATCTTGCGTAAAGTCAGGTGGGAGGTTTCTAGAAAAGGTAGGCGTTAGCTCATATCCCATTGGTACGGAAGCCTGTTAGGGCCATTCGGTTTTTCGGATACATATTATGTTTTTAGATACTTACGAAGTTGAAATTTCATGAAAATGATCTTGAAATTTCAAGATATAATGTTGAAATTTCAAGATCGTTATCTTAAATTCAATTAACAAAACTCAAAAAAAACCACCAAAAAACGAATGGCCCTAAAGGCTTAGGTAGTGTACATCTTAGTGAGAAGGATTTCCGACCTCCCTTTGTGGGACAACTGAATGTATGTCTTTAGTTGCCATCTGGTAGATATGTACTCTCATGGCTTTTGTTGTTAGTAGTCGATCTTCGTTTGAGTATTTTGAATTTTAACAACGCTTACATTGAAGTGAGTGAGTTTAGTTTTAACCCGCCAGAAATGGGGTCATGTCTGCCTGACTGACTGAGTTTGGTTTTACGCCGCTTTTAGCAATATTCCAGCAATATCACAGCGGGGGACACCAGAAATGGGCTTCACTCATTGTACCCATGTGGGGATTCGAACCCGGGTCTTCGGCGTGACGAGCCAACGCTTTAACCACTAGGCTGCCCCCACCGTCCCACTGACACTGGAAGCCAAGACAAGCAACAGCAACTCAACTAGTGGCGGTGGGGTAGCCTGAGTGGATTTAAAGCATTCGCTCGTCAGGCCGAAAACCGGGTTATTTCCACATGGGTACAATGTCAAAACCATTTCTGAATGTCCCCATCGTGATGTTGCTGGAATAATGCTAAAAGAAACGTAAAAACTAAAACCCACTCACTCACTATAACTCACTTAACTATACTGACACTGAATGCCAAGACAAGACACTTGCCTCTAGACTAACGCTTAGTCCCCTGAATAAATATAATTTGGATAGTAACAAAATAAACCCATTAAACTTGAAAGAGCCCCAGTGAGTTGGCAGATTCATCTAGACTTGCTTGATTTAGGGCTTTTTGCATTGCAGGGAGGGCGAGGCAGAAATGAAAATAATGTGGTTCAGGGACCTTGAGACCGACTCTCATAGCTTGTGTTGCGAGTTGTCGATCTTCGTCTCAGTATTTTGAGGTCTCTCACAGCTCACCCCAACGTTACTAGTAGCTTAGGTAGTTCCAGTGGCCACAATGTACGCCCTTGTCGTACCTGATCCTATAAATTAAACTGTTCAGTCGCGAGGACGCCCAGCAGTTCGGGGATTTGAATTCTCCGAATTAATTCAATGTGTAGAGCCATTGCTGATGTCCTCCGGTATGTGAGTGAGTTTAGTTTTACGCCGCACTCAGCAATATTCCAGCTATATGGCGGCGGTCTGTAAATAATCGAATCTGGACCGGACAAGCCAGTGATCAATAGCATGAGCATCAATATACGCATATGGGATACGATGACATCACAGTCATAATAATCATGATATCATCAATCCAACACTCGTAATGCCAGCAACGTTTTGGGTAACATTTTATTTTTCAAGATAATAATGGACGTGCTCATATTGCAAGGATTCTGACCCGTTTCCTCCAACAGCAAAACATTCATGTCATGGCCAGACTGAGTGTGTGAGTTAGGTTTTAAGCCGCTTTTAGCAATTTCCGAGCAATATCACAGCGGGGGGACGCCAGGGCTTTACACGCTGTACCCGTGTGGGGAATCGAACCCGGGTCTTCGACGTGACGAGCGAACGCTTTAACCACTTTGCTACCCCACCGCCTCGTCATAGCCAGAACGCAGCCTTCACACCCTTTAAACACGTCTACTGGCAAACAAGGATAAGTTGGACCGGCGCAGAGAACACGTTTATTACGGGAAGTAGGCGGTGCACGGCAATGAGCAAACCCATTTGGTTTGTGAAAGGTAGAGCAGATGTAGGCTAGTGTTCGTGCAGTACATGGCGATGAAATTGATTCCGTGCGTAGCTGCACACGCCTTGCTCATAAGACTCTCACGTGGTCGGTGTAGCAAGTCGATAATATTCGGAGGTATAGATATATATTTCGAGAGAATTAAATATGTCAAAGTTAGGTAAGCACGGTCAGATCATACATTCTCAGACCCGAGAGGTGGCATACAATATGTTACTAAGTACATCTACGAAACAGGCACTATTAAAAGATAGCACCTGCCACTGTCGAACTCGGAGTTTGCTGAGACAGGCCACGCGCTTCACCCATCGCATTACACTTGATCGTGGACAACCTGGGGCCCCTTCGCTCACAATGGCAAGCGCCAGTGGGCGGCTCTCATACATGCTAATACGGGTCAATTGTCAAGTCGGTGCTCAACTTATCCTTGTTTGCCAGTAGGACGTCATTGCCAGGTGTGTATGTTTCGATATGTTGACAGTGCCATTCCAGTGCTCGTGGGTTTCACCAAAGTGATAACTGCCTTACACCCTGTTCTTCCTTAGAATAGTGTTCAAATAAATAGAAACATCGAAATAGTAATTATTTTGATAAGAAATCGCGGTCAAAAGTACGGTCGATTGAAAAGTTTGTTAAACTCACTCACCCAACCAGCGACTGAAACTCTCTAAAACCACTCACTCACTCATATTATGCTGGGGCCGTTAAAAAGTTGAGATTGGATAATTCTTGGAAACCTATGAAAACCTATGAAGAGCGTTATGTCAATGAGCGGCTCTCCTTCCAGTGAGGGAGGGAGTTTAGTTTTGCGCTGCAATCAGCAATATTCCAGCTATATGGCACCGGTCTGTAAATAATCGAGTCTGGGCCAGACAATCCAGGGATCAACAGCATCAGCATCGACCTACGCAATTGGGATACGATGGCATGTGTCAACCAAGGCAGCGAGCCTGGCCACCCGAACCTGTCATCCCGTCACGCTTAAGACCCGGGTTAGATTCCCCACATGGGTACAATGTGTAAGGCCCATTTCTGGTGTCCCCCGCCGTGATATTGCTGTAATATTGCTAAAAGCGGCATAAAACTATACTCACTCACTACTGAAGAACAGTCCTAACCCGGACCTTCATTGGTCGCTCTTATTTAAAGGTCAGTTTTCCTATGTCACTTTTCATCACATTACAATGCTATTTAAAACATGCTACTGTTACTGTTGTACCATCTTTTACATATTCAAAACCCTCTCACCTGAAAAAATACTTGTTTCCATTTAATGCATTGCTATATTTAATTATTTCCTACACGTTAGATGCATGCTGTCAGTCGTAGTATCCTAATTGCGTCGATCGATGCTCGTGCTGTTCATCACCGGATTATCTGGTACAGACTCATTTATGAATAGATAGTCACTGTATAGCTATAGTAGAGGGACGGTGAGGTAGAGGGACGGTGAGGTAGCCTAGTGGTTAAAGAGTTCGCTCAATATGCCGAAGATCGGGTTCGATTCCCCATGTAGTACAATGTGTGAAGCCATTTCTGGTTTCTCCCGCCATTGATATTGCTGGAATATTGCAAAACAACGGCGTAAAACCCAACTCACTCACTCACTGTTAGTCAATCAATGTATTTATTATTATTGTTAAATGTGACAGTTTGAAACATGTGTTTCAGTTGTCTCCCTTTCCTTTTCGCTTTTAATGACTCTGTGATTCTATGTGATATGATTTATACTGTGATGATCATATGTATAATGCTAATGTTTACAGGTATTCTCTTCATCTGCTAAAAGCTAAATATTGCTAAAAGCCGCGTAAAACCCAACTCACTCACTCACTTACTCACTCACTATACAGCTTAGACTAGGACCACGTCACGACTCTCTTCTAGTGCTGTGTGTGGCGTTAAACAACAAACAAACAAAAACACGAACAAACAAAGAATCATAGAACCGTTTTTCAGATGAGCGAATAACGGAGACAAGCTTATGGCACGAATAATGCACCTTTCTCAAATATGTCAAATATAAACAAAGTGGGGGCACATATTGACATGTAACACTTGAGTAATTCAGTGACGTGACACATTAGACATCGAAAACTCTAAGTACTTACGTGTCTGCTCTCAACAAAAGGTCCCGCGACTGATAAAATGTAAATTCTCGGACTGATTTATTTATCTGATACTGCCCACGCCATCACGTTTATACATCCGCGTTTACCTGTCAATCATTGAGTCACATGCAGCCACAGAAACCTTGAATTTACTTCCTTGTACATGCCGAAGCCATTGTCCACATGTTTGCATGGAAGTATCATATTACACAGTCGACTCACGCACGAGAGAGTGATAGAGTTTAGTTTTACGCCGCACTCAGCAATATTCCAGCGCAATTGGGAACCAGTGACCTGTGTCAACCAACCACCCGATCCTGCAAGTCGCGTCTTACGACAAGCATGGGTTACTGAATCTTCTCCGGTGATACATAAGGAACAGTTTGTTGATGATAAAATAAATCAGTCTGTAAATAATCGAGTCTGGACCAGACAATCTAGTGATCAACAACATGAGCATAGATCTACGCAATTGGGATACGATTGGGAGCTTCTTACGACAAGCATGGGTTTCTGAAAATCACTTCTAACCCGGATCTTCTCGAGTGATACACATTATTGATGTCAGAATAAATCAGTCTGTAAATAATCGAGTCTGGACCAGACAATCTAGTGATCAACAACATGAGCATCGATCTACGCAATTGGGATACGATTGGGAGCCCCCGATCCTGTTGGTCGCTTCTTACGACAAGCATGGGTTTCTGAAAAACACTTCTAACCCGGATCTTCACGCGTTTCATTATCTCTAACTCTCTTCATACCAGTGTATATATGCTGTAAATAGGGTGGTCACTTGGAGCCTGACCACCCGATCCTGTTAGCATGGGTATCTGAAGACCAGATTCAAGTAGTTAGGTACGCTGATTTGTTCGGGTGAGTGAGTGAGTATGGTTTTACGCCGCCTTGAGCAATATTCCAGCAACGATACGCTGGGGAACATCAAGAAATGGGGACCCGTGAAGATCCGGGGTGAGGAATAGGTCTTCAGCAACCCATGCTTGCCATAAAGGCGATGTATGCTTGTCGTAAAGGCGACTAACGGGATCGAATTGGTCAGGCTCAACTGACTTGGTTGACACATGTCATCGGTTCCCAATTGCGCAGATCAATGCTCATGCTGTTGATCACTGGATTGGCTGGTCCAGACTCGATTAGTTACAGACCGCCCCCATATAGCTGGACTTTTGCTGAGTGCGGCTTAAAACTAAACTCACTCACTCACTCACTTAAAAATGGGCTATAAACACATACCATGTGGAGAATCGAACTCGGGGCCTTCGGCGTGACGAGCGAGGGCTTTAACCACTGGGCTACCCTACCGCCACACCTTTTTTACCAAGATGTCAAAGATGACCATACAGCTCTTGCTCTGAAGTTGTTTCATCAAGCTTACAAAATATATTTTTATAAAAATTAAATGGTTTAGTTGTAGATGCGTGGATAACAATTCCACATGTGACACATTAAAGACAACATTCTTCCTTGCTTTGGATTGTACCATATAGTTTAGTGTTTTTAACTGATTAACATTTGACATGCCCTTACGTGTGTTTGTGACTGGAACCATTTTCAAGAACTCCTAGAATCAAAACTATTTAATAATACTACATAAACACCTGCTGACGGTACAGAAGGAATGGTACCATCGACTTCACTTTAGTAAATATTTCTTATAAACATTAAAACGACTTATTATAACGCTAAAATCAAACTTTGCCAGTGAAGTTGTAAGGATTGACACATGAATCCTTTATTTATATCTCGCGGTCAATAGTACAATGTATAAAAAAGTGGGACAAATGTTATGCCATCTTAATGCAATGAAAATGTATACCATTAAAGATATGGCTTGTCTTCTAATGTAATCTATATAATAATTAATGAAACATTAATCGACAAGTCTTTGTGTATTTATAGCTAAGTATATTTAATATTCTTATGTCAGATACCCTATGAGGCTAAATAGAATATATTTTGGTATGATATGTAGTAGCATAGTGACACACATATTTCTGATATTGAAAGTAGGACAAAACTAAGTATAAATATCTTAAAATATCCTGCAAAGGTATAGGTCCTGGGTGTGACTTGATTGTTTCTCTTACATTATAGAAATCTGTAAATTGTGAAAGAATAGTGATGATGATCTGTGTTGTGAAATAAGTAGTTTGGACTGCTTGGCTGGTGTTCTTCAATCCAATATTGTTATGCAGATCAGGAGCATGTGGGCCCTTGTATTTATTCACCAGGGCAGGTACGTATAAATACTCCCTACGTTCACTCTCCCTCCATCTGACCAATGGTTTGTAAGATCTTTGGGCTATTGTATCGAATCACAGAGTCGAACCCGTGAATCTCTGGATTGTCTGGTCCGGTTACAGACCGCCGCCATATAGCTGGAATAGTACAGTGTGCGGCGTTCAACAACAAACAAACAAAAGTGACGATTCCCCAAGTAGAAATGTAGCACTAATGGGAACAATCCTTACCGGAAAGTGAAAGTAGGACAATGAGCCACTGCGGCTATACACGGGTGCAACCGACAGAGCAGGGTTCACTGGATAGGGGCATTGGACAAGGGGATTAGTCAGTGGGTTGAGGAAGGGAACATCTCAGGATATGATACTGCAGGATTTCTAGATGCGCTATCTGCTCGAATGTGGAGTAAACAGGAAGGTCTTCTTCAGCTAGGATGTTAAACTGGTTGTGTACAAACAGCCAATAACCACTGACACACTTCTCAGATTTCAATGTGACCTGATCCGGCAAGTACAGCAAACAGCAGATCTTGTAGGTCAAGACTCGATTATTTTCACACCCCCGCCATATAGCTTGAATATTGCTGAGTGCGGCGTTAAAAACCAACCAACCAACCAGTCCAGACGACAAAATTGTGGGTGTGGTGTATGGTGGGGTAGCCTAGTGGTTAAGGCGCTACTCTGAGGATCCGGGTTCGATTCCCCACATGAGTACAATGTGTGAAGCCCATTTGCTGTGTCGCCCGCCGTGATATTGCTTGAATATTGCTAAAAAAGGCGTAAAACTAAACTCACTCACTCATGATGTGTGAATGGGCCATTATTACTGTCTCCTGTCTACAGGCCCTATAATAACGTCTTTGAATTCCAGTATTATAATTATTGGGCCCATGGGTCATGATTGGCTTGTTTATACATGTGTCCAGTGAAGAGTACAGTTCATGGGTGGAAACAGGGCGGAAACAGTACACCTCTGCATATCGTACAGACCCGTCCAGGACAGACATAAATATACTGCAATAACATTTTTTTTTTACCTTTTGGCAATGAAAATAAGTAACAACATCCGAAACTAATAAATGGTTCAATAAGATGGCCTATATCCCCTTCAAACATTGTTCAGATTGTAGGTTTTGGAACATGTACAGACCTATTATTGGGACATGGGTCATGAGCGAGTGAGTGGGTTTAATTTTACGCCGCTTTCAGCAATATTCAGCAAAGAAATGGTCTTCACACATTGTACCCATTTGGGGAATCGAACCCGGGTCTTCAGTGTGACGAGCGAACGCTTCAGCCACTAGGCTACCCCACCGCCCGTCATGACTGGACTATTTGGGACTTGTTTCTTTCAGTACAAGATTCGTTGAGAGAATGAAGGCATACCTGCTCAGTTTACCATCATATAAGCCGTGATTGTATTATGCAGCTTTCTATTTTGCAGGGCTCCTCCACTACGCCTTACCCGTAACAGGGCACAAACGTGAGCTGCCAGTTGATTGTGTGTCATCATGTCTCGATAGTGGACTTGATTCTATCAACCACTGGTTTACAAGGCCTAGAATCGATCAGTTACACGTAGCCAATACCGCTGGACCATTCTGACTGCAGGCAAAACACATATTACTCACACATTCCAGATACGTATTCACACTAGTGTGTGTATGCATGCACACACGCGTGCGCTTGTTATAATATACTGCGCGTGTGTGGGTGTGCATGTGTGCGTGCGTGTGCGCAATGTGTGTGCGGGTGCAAGTTTATGTGTCAAGTGCCTGCGAAGGCACTGAGTGAGTGAGTTTGGTTTTACGCCGCTTTTAGCAATATTCCAGCAATATCAGGCGGTAGGTTTGGGGATATGTACAGACCTATTATTGAGTCATTGGTCATGATATTGTGAGTAAGTCCGTTTAATTTAATGAGTCATTTAGCTATATTCCAGCAATATTACGGCGGGGGACACCAGCAATGGGCTTTACACATTGTAGCCATGTGGGGAATCGAACACGGGACTTCGGCGTGACGAACGCATTAACCACTAGACTACCCCACCTCCCGGTGAAGGCATTGAGCGACAGCACCTAACCACCCAGCCACCCAGCCACCCGCCGCCGCTTCAATCATCAGTCACTTTCAAGAATACGATTCACTCAACCATGACACATATAACAGCAGAGTATCCTGGGTGGAGTACAGCATACCCGGACACACAGTTCCCACAAAATCAGATTCCCTGTATTTTAAATAAGTTTACCGAGAAGCCGCAAACGCAGTGTGCAGTATTTGAAAAAAAGTAAGGCCAGAAATGCTTGGAAAATGCTTTTTGGCAATTATTTGATAATGGTTGATATTTCAGATTCAAAACTCATATATAGTCATTCATACCACCTCGACCTAATATGGCATATGCGTAATCACGGTGTACCATTCCCTAATCATAACGATTACTCATAAATTATCGACAAACTTCATGGCAGAAACACTTCTAAGAAACAAACTATGCTGTGACCCACCTGGCAGGCAGACTTCGGCGTGACTCACAATATGACCAGCGTTTTGTAATGCAAGGGCAGTACATGTCAGGGACTGTCCCGAAATATGAAGTGTTAGTATCACAGCTGGTGGAGGACTTTAGCGGATATACACAGGACATTTATTGTATCTTTTATCTCATCTTGCATTTTAGCACACGTCTGTGGGATTTTACGTTCATACAGTTGATAAACTGCACCCCGTATGACCCCCTTATCAAAACTATCCAGTTTGTGTTTCTTATCTGGTTTTGATTTTGACACGACCCCTGAGGTAACTGATGTGTTTACAACTTTCTAAACCTGACTGTCAAATTAAGGGATTTACACATTCTATGGTAAACCCTGTCATAGCTGACGAGAGGTTTCGCCCTTTGTTTCTCCAGTATGAAATACTGGTATAAATTTGAAATTAATTGTTCTGCAGAGATATCAAGTAGCATGTTGCCAGTTCAATGCTCATACACGAAGTGAAACTTCTATGGGTGAACAAGATAATCAATAGGATTTCAATTAAGGTTTTTTGACGTAATTCGTTTGGATATAACTGCTACAAGAGTTCCATCTTTTTCACATAGAGATGTTCATAAAAAAAAACAACTTTTTACAATCATTTATGTAATTTAATTTGTTGAGGCTATATGAATATTTATAGTCTGTATTTCAAAACTACAGTTTGTACTTAGAATATTTACGAATGTTGTTAAAACGTCAAAATTTCCTCCTGAGAAGTCATCCCTCAAGTGCATTTTATCATCTGAGCTTTAATATCCAAATAGGTAGAGTCGTACATGTGTCATATTTGTGCTTTTATCTTGTGTCAGATTCACCATATTGATATTGAAGCCAATAAGCATTTTCCAAGCATTTCGGGCCTTACTTTAGTTAAGAACGCGACCCAACAAAGGTAAGGACAATAGCACTGTCGGGTCGCACTTGAGAGTGGGTAACAAGGACATAAGTTATAGACATCCTGAACGGAGGATAATGCCCATTGAGAGGTTCGAGCACTGTAATATATAGTGCTTACCTCACCACTTATCATTTCTTCGAAATGGCCACAATGATCACGATATGCTCGCCTGTTTCGCGAAAATCCTTGTGTCACCCCGATCTAGCCTCAGCACACCCACCTCTTATGAAAATACAATAGACGATAAACATTTCCTTGAGAGAGTTATGTGTGATCTGGAGAATGACAATTGTGTTGTGACTGGCGATCATAAAACCCACACGGGTATTACAGGAGGGGGGAGGGGGGTAAAGGACAAGTGTAACACTTATAACTCAAATAGCACTGACACTCGCTGCTCAGATAGTGTATACGGAGTTACAGGTAAAGTATCTTGCGTAAAGTCAGGTGGGAGGTTTCTAGAAAAGGTAGGCGTTCGCTCATATCCCATTGGTACGGAAGCCTATTAGGGCCATTCGTTTTTCGGATACATATTATGTTTTTAGATACTTACGAAGTTGAAATTTCATGAAAATGATCTTGAATTTCGAGATATAATGTTGAAATTTCAAGATCGTTATCTTAAATTCAAATGAAGAAAACCCCCCAAAACAAAACAAAAACGAATGGCCCTAAAGGCTTAGGTAGTCTACATGTTAGTGAGAAGGATTTACGACCTCCCTTTGTGGGACAACTGAATGTATGTCTTTAGTTGCCATCAGGTAGATATGTACTCTCATTGCTTTTGTTGTTAGTAGTCGATTTTCATTTCAGTATTTTGAATTTTAACAATACTTACATTGAAGTGAGTGAGTTTAGTTTTAACCCGACAGAAATGGGGCTCATGTGGGGTATCAAACCTGGATGTTCGGCGTGACGAGCGAACGCCTTAACCACTAGACTACCCCCACCGTCCCACTGACACTGGTAGCAAAGACAAGCAACAGTAACTCAACTAAAGTACTGTCGGAAATGCTAGAAAAATGCTTTTTAGCCTTAGTATCTTTAGAAAGGTGATAAATGTATTATGTTGTCAATATATCAACTCACCTTTAGCGTACCTAATTTTTTGTTTCAATTGATTTAACATTCCCACACATATAAAGGGCAGTTTACAGGAGAGAATTTGGTACCAAAACAACAACTTAAGATGTTTTCAGAGTTCAACATCAGAAATCTGAAATGTAGTGTGTAAATTTATGTTAATAATACAGGTGGTGTAAAACTATAAATTAACGTTTTTCTTAAACAAATAAATGTCGAATGTTTGTGTTTCTTTACTTAATTATCGTGTCTTTATTGGAGAAATATTAATATAAATGTTAAGTCTTGATAAATAAGTTTCCCGTCATGCATGCACATCTTTATCACAGCGTCCACTATGGACAACTATTTGCAGACGGTTGTTGCAAAGGTTTATAAGTTTTTTTGTGTTTGAAAAAGACAGATCTAAACCTTTCATTAGTATAGAAATGTGTTGTTACAGAACTTGCAGAGCTGTTGGTATGTCTTACCAACAGGGGCGGTGGGGTAGCCTAGTGGTTAAAGCGTTGGCTCGTCACGCCGAAGGCCCGGGTTCGATTCCCCACATGGGCACAATGTGTTAAGCCCATTTCTGGTGTCCCCCGCCGTGATATTGCTGGAATATTGCTAAAAGCGGCGTAAAACTAAACTCAGTCAGTCAGTCAGTCTTACCAACAAGTTTACAACAAATCAGCCAAGACAGGGACCGCCTCAAAGGCAAAACCGGGACGTAAAACCATCATTGACAACTTTGACAAGGGAGTACTTAGACGGGCGGTCTACAAACTTTAGGAGAATAATAATATATATATTAACTTGATTAAACTGACCGAATTACATCCATATTTTTGGAATGAAATATACTGTTGACATGCAAAAGATTTATTAGATTGCACATTTTACAATCAATCGATAAGATAACACAAGTGATAGGATTCTTTCCAATGTACACTAGTTCGTATGCTTATTTCACAACAAACACACATACACATATGATCCCTTACATAACAAATATGTATACTATACGTACACATATTCAACATTTTGAAGAAAACATCTATTGAGATGACCCCTCGCCCGAGCGTGTGCTCAGGTGTCAATTTCACCTGTCGATATCGTGCATGCTGATGACTTAACACAGGCAGTTAATGTTTGTATCAAATAACGTCACACTACCCCTTATTTTTCTAGGTTTTTGGTATTTTTTTCAGTGAAAACGCATTTTAGGGCATGTCTCAAAATTTATTCCCTCGGTCTACATTAGGTAGATGTTTCTTAAAGTGATATTTGTTATTTAAGTAACTGTAATACCTCTGAATTTGAAATGGAGACAAAAAGCATTTAGTGGTGGAGGGGTAGACTAGAGGTTAAAGCGTTCGCTCGTCAGGCCGAAAACCCGGGTTAGTTTCCCACATGGGTACAATGTGTCAAGCCCATTTCTGGTGTTCCCCGTCGTGATGTTGCTGGAATATTGCTAAAAGAAGCGTAAAAACTAAACCCACTCACTCACTATAACTCACTTAACTATACTGACACTGAATGCCAAGACAAGACACTTTACTCTAGACTAACGCTTAGTCCCTGAATATATATAATTTTGATAGTAACAAATAAACCCTTTAAAATTGAAAGAGCCCCAGTGAGCTGGCAGATTCATCTAGACTTGCTTCATTTAGGGCTTTTGCATTGCAGGGAGGGCGAGGCAGAAATGAAAATAATGTGGTTCAGGGACCTTGAGACAGACTCTCTCATATCTTGTGTTGCGAGTTGTCGATCTTCGTCTCAGTATTTGAGGGCTCTCACAGCTCATCCCAACGTTACTAGTAGCTTAGGCAGTTCCAGTGGCCACAATGTACGCCCTTGTCGTACCTGATCCTATAAATTAAACTGTTCAGTCGCGAGGACGCCCAGCAGTTCAGGGATTTGAATTCTCCGAATTAATTCAATGTGTAGAGCCATTGCTGATGTCCTCCGGCATGTGAGTGAGTTTAGTTTTACGCCGCACACAGCAATATTCCAGCTATATGGCGGCGGTCTGTAAATAATCGAGTCTGGACCAGACAATCCAGTGATCAACAGCATGAGCATCGATCTACACACTTAGAAAACCTGACCACCCGATTCTGTTAGTCGCCGCTTACCACAAGCATGGGTTACTGAAGATAAATTCCAACCCGGATCTGCACGGGACCTCTGGCGTGTCGTTTCCAGGTTTTTGCTAAAAGCTGTGTAGAACCACATTTACTGAAGCCCTTTAAACGTTCTTCGACCACATGGAATAATAACTCCCTTCTTGCTCTTTCAGACAAGTAACAGCAAACATGAGTGTATGGACAGATTGGCTAGACTTTATCCCAGTCGTGGGTACAGTCAAGAACACGGTCGAAGCTGTAACAGCCGTCTGCCATGGAGACTATGACCTTGCGAAGGAGAAAGGAGCCAGTGCCGCTTTGGGTCTTGTGCTGGATGTTTTCACAGGTGGTACCGAACATGCCGCTGGGACTGCCGCCCTCAGACTGGGTGAAAAACTCGCAGTCAAGGGCACTACAGAAAAAGTTGTCGTGAATGCCATGGCTAAAGTCGCGGGCAGAGCTGGTGCGAAAGGAGTTGCTGATCGGGTTCTGATCCACGAATTCGTCAAAAAATCCAACAGACCCAAAGACCCAAAGACCAACGAGGGTGAAAAGAAAACATCTCAACGTGGTGAACATGTCATCAACAACAACGTTCTGAAGGTGTTTCGAACAATGATTGACCGATTTGCTGCTAAGATTGGAAGCACTGCAGCTCAACTGCTTGAAAAAAAAGAACACACAGCAGCTCATCAAGCATATTACGCACCCCTTCCTGAAGCCACCACCCAGTCTATCAGGTACCACATGGTTGCACACATTCCGGAAGAGGACCCATACATTGATGCCAACGCAACAGTCTATGGTATAGCCAGTGGGGCGATATCTGACATGGTGGTCACTTACATGTACGACTATTATGGCAACAACAGCTACAATGCTCCAGTTGTCGATAGGAGCATCACCGAGCTGGTTCATTTACTGAACGAAAGTCACTTGTATGTGGATGAATACGCCAAGCAGTACTGGCTACACCATGGCGGGAGTGAGGCCACGTTTGAGGAGAGCAGACGACAAGTGGTGCAGATGTTCAGACGTCTGTGTACACCGACAAGTGGGGAGAACGAGGCAAAGCAGTGGGTGCGTGATCTTACTGGCCACATTTAAGTACACATCTATTGGATGCCAAGACAAGCTATAGTAAACCTCGCCTATACTGACATTGGATGCCAAGACAAGCTACTGTAACCCTCGCCTATACTGACATTGGATGCCAAGACAAGCTACTGTAACCCTCGCCTATACTGACATTGGCTGCCAAGACAAGCTACTGTAACCCTCACCTATACTGACATTGGTTGCCAGGACAAGGTACTATAACCCTCACCTATACTGACATTGGATGCCAAGACAAAATGCAATAACCCTCGCCTATTCTGACATTGGTTGCCAAGACCAGCTATAGTAACCCTCACCTATACTGACTTTGGATGCCGAGACAAGCTACTGTAACCCTCACCTATACTGACATTAGTTGCCAAGACAAGCTATAGTTACCCTTACCTTTACTGACATTGGATGCTAAGACAAGATGCTTAACATGCAGGTTTACATGCTGAAATATTCAAAGTCTCGCCATGACCTTGAAAATTATGTGAAGGTAACCAAAATCGACTGGGCCATGCGCCTTCCCTGATAAAGCTTGGTGTTAAATATGAAGAAAGTCCAATGAACGGTTCTTGAGGTAGCTTAACATGCAGGTTTACATGCTGAAATATTCAAAGTGTCGCCATGACCTTGAAAATTAAGTGAAGGTCACCAAAATTGACTGGGCCCTGCGCCTTCCCTAGATAAAGCTTGGTATTAAATATGAACAAAATCCAGTCAAGGGTTCTTAAGATAGCTTAACGTGCAGGTAAAACGTTAAAGTTCCCTAGTGACCTTGAAATGAAGGTCAAGGTCACCAAACCTGACTGGCACCTTCCTTTTACTGTGATGAACCTACCTTAAGATATTCCAATTCGTACGTACGGACGGACGGACGGACGGAGCCTAATACTATATCCCCCGCTTCGCGCTAAACGCGCGGCGGGGGATAATAACACATGACATCCATCTGCAAATAGACCAATTAGGATCAGACAACCCAGTGATCTACATTTTGATCAAAGAACCATTAGCTGAGTGAAGCCCTTCCCTGGTGTCCCCCGCCTTGATAATACTCACTCACATTAATTTTATAACGTATGATCACTGGATGGTCTTGGCCAGACTCGATTATTTACAGACCACCGCCATTTAGCTGAAATATTGCTGAATGCGGCGTAAATCTAAACTCACTCACTCACTCACTAGTTAACCTGAACTACTTGACTGACAGTAGTTAGGAACCTGTAAAAACGATGCTTCAAATTTGAACCGATTCTAAACATTCGTATATTTTCATCGGCAAATATCAACGCCATGGCAAATGTTCCGAAATATTTCGGGAAAAAATGCTCGACTCTAGCAGAGAGTGGATTAAACAACCACACAACGAGGTTGGTCAGCTGGACGTGTGCAGCCAATGGAGTGCAATACGGACTTGAGATAGTCCTGGAATTGTATTTCAGACACCCATGCTTCTTTAAGATGGGGGATTTCTAATGTCAGTACACGCAAAGATCTGAGATGGAACAATTCTTCAGCATGCCTTTCTGTAAAAGGCAACAAACATGGTCACACTGACTACATATCACTGGGTAGATCGATGCGTATGATGTCAATCACTGAATCATCTGGTCCAGACCTGGATTATATATGGCCCGCCATCATATAGCTAACGTTAAACATTCAAAGAAACAAATTTCACAAGACCTGATTCAGACATAATTTTAACGGTTGCCAGCAATTTCTCAATGTTTTTATTTGCCTCTGTCGGATACAAATCCAGCGTTACTGTCACCATTGTTTTCATTCACAACTATTTTTCGGTACAACGATCGTTTTTTAAACTGTACCAGGGATGAAAATTGTGTAGGTTGAGTAAAACGACACTGTCTAGAAGAAGATCGTGCACATGATGCACTGCAGACAAAAGTATTATTTCGCTAAATTTGAATTCTCGCACATGGCTCCATGGAGACTGCATTGACACGGGCGGTGATGTCACTTTCACTACACTCGGGGCAAATGTCAATCAAGTTGATGTTAAACAGTGAACCAGCATAGCTTCAGATTCATTAATTGGGTCGGTCGGATAATCCGGTGATCGCAACCACATTTTTTTAATGTTTGGCCATCACAGAAATATCAGAAACTGGAGATCCGAAACCATATTAGTCAATTAAAACTTTCGTTATCATGGCTTTTCAGATTTCACCTGGGGACAAACTTTACACACATATTTTTCTGGGGCATGTGATAACTGCTAGAAAAGTGCATCCAGTTTATTTGCTCTTTTACATAATGTATACACTATACAGTGCCAGTGTTATTACGATCTAGTTAAAAAAAGACTTTACGTGGTTTAAATACCATCAAGAAATGGAAAAGAATCTATTTCTAAAATATATTTGTATTTGGCCTGAACACTCATGGGTACCACAACAATGCTTATTCTATTTACTCCTCCCCTTATAAATATGCAACATAGTTAAATTGTATACCTAATGAATATTCAAGATATCCCTTGCCAGGATGATGGAGTTACAGATAGTTTCTTACTTCATATCTAGGAACAGATTTATTTTGAATCAATTGATATATTGTGTGGCCCTCAATTTTTAGATTTCATCAATTTGGGGATATAATGCAGGCATTGAAACTGTTCATTGATGTGTTTCATATTTTACCTGAGAATGTTGGTAGTAAAATATCTTCCGATCATGGTATGGCCTTCAGGTCCGCTGACTTGATGTATATAAACTCCAACTTACATAACCACTGGTGTCAATCACTGGATTGTGTGGTGCAGACGCGTTTATCTACATTCCTGAAGCTGGGATATTACTGGCTGCACAGTAGTACTAAACACCAAATCCAACAATAACATTTGTGTTTGAGCGAGTTACACATGGTGTTATCACTGAGATTCAGGACACTATTCCGGTAGCTGTTATAACTATTTCCCCTTCATACTGTCCCCATTGTACCTAGTATGGTTGCCGGCGATACTCTGCCTGTTTTCATATTGTATCGTCCTGACTGAAATCCAGTTTTAGACATAGGTGCTAGTTTTAGTTCTTGTGTCTGTAATATTCTAGTTTTCTACTGTCCTTTGGCCACAGGCTTTATATTATAACATTATAAATTATAATTATTGTAAGTATGACCTGTTTTAATCATGATATATGGGCCGGTGAAGTAGCCTAGTTGTTAATGCCCTCGCTCGTCACGCCAAAGACCCGGATTCGATTCCCCACATGGGTACAATGTGTGAAACCCATTTTTGGTGTCCCCCCGCCGTGATATTGCTGGAATATTGCTAAAAGCGGCGTAAAGCTAAACTCAGTCACTCACTCACTAGTCATGATATGGTTGAATTATTGCCAATGTGACTTATAATTTTACCTCACTCACTATTCGGAATTTGTGTCTGGGGACAGTCAGGTCTTTTGCACTGACGTTCTAAATTCAATTCTAAGCATAAGTCATGGTGGCATCTAAGAAGAGCAGCATTAGCATTGCCACAATGTCTCTGCAAGGCTATGGAATTTTATTCAGTATTCACCTCAGGAAGGAAGACAGACGTCATGTCATCATACGTTGCCTTAAGTGATAGATGGGGTAGGGGAAGATTTAAGCATGTGAATTTGATTAGCTACTATTTTTTTAATTATTCAAACTGTATACATAGGCATATGGCTTGTTTTTGTTCATACTTAGGTTGACTTGATTTCTCGCCAACAAGCACTCCCTCAATCACATTCTTTTTCCCCCCAACAGCGACCAACACCTCGTTTCCTGCCAACAACCAACCCCTCACTCACTCACTCACTCTCTGTTCCCACCAACAGCAACCCACACCTCGTTTCCCGCCAACAACCAAACCCTCACTCACTCACTCTCTTTTGCCGCCAACAACCAAACCCTTACTCACTCTCCTTTCCCGCCAACACCCACTCCCTCACTCGCTCTCTTTTCCCGCCAACAATCCCTTCCTTACTCACTCTCTTTTTTCCCGCCACCACCAGCCCACACCTTGTTTCCCACCAACAGCCACTCACTCACTCATTCTCTTTCCCCGCCAACAGCAACCCCACCTCGTTTCCTGCTAACAACCAGCCCTCACTCACTCACTCTCTTTTACCGCCAACAGCAACCCACACTTCGTTTCCCGCCAACAACCAACCCTTCACTCACTCACTCACTCTCATTTCCTGCCAACAGCAACCCACACCTGTTTCCCTCCAACAACCAACCCCTCACTCACTCCCTCGATCTCTTTTGCCGCCAACAACCACTCCCTCACTTGCTCTCTTTTCCCGCCAACAATCCCTCCCTTACTCACTCTCCTTTCCCGCCAACACCTTGTTTCCCACCAACCATTCACTTACTCACTCTCTTTTCTCGCCAACAGCGGCCCACACTTTGTTTCCCGCCAACAACCACTCACTCACTCACTCTCTTTTCCCGCCAACAGCGGCCCACGCTTCGTTTCCCGCCAACAACTACTCACTCACTCACTCTCTTATCTCGCCAACAGCGGCCCACACCTTGTTTCCTGCCAACAACCACTCCCTCATTCGCTCTCTTTTCCCGCTAACAACCACTCACTCACTCACTCTCTTTTCCCGCCAACAGCGGCCCACGCTTCCCTCCAACAACAACTACTCACTCACTCACACTCTTATCTCGCCAACAGCGGCCCACACCTCGTTTCCCGCCAGCAACCACTCCCTCACTCACTCTCTTTTCCCGCCAACAGCGGCCCACACTTAGTTTCCCATCAACAACCACTCCCTCACTCACTCTCTTTTCTCACCAACAGCGGCCCACACCTTGTTTCCCGCCAACAACCACTCACTCACTCACTCTCTTTTCCCGCCAACAGCGGCCCACACTTCTTTTCCCGCCAACAACCACTCACTCACTCTCTTTCCCCGCCAACAGCAACCCGCACCTCGTTTCCCGCTAACATCCATCCCTCACTCACTCGCCCTCTTTCATCGCCAACAGGAACAGAC